AGGCGGTCTTAGGAAGTGTGAAAACTATAGAGACATTACTCTTCTCTCAATATCAGACAAAGTCTACAACACGGTAGTGTTAAGCCGAACGAAGTACTCCGTAGATGCTCTACTTCGAGATCAACAGGCTGGATTCCATAAGGATCGATGAAGTACCAATCAAATTGCAACATTACGGATCATTGTGGAACAATCAGTTGAATGGAACCTACCACTCTACATCAACTTGATCAACTACGAGAAAGCATTCAACATCGTGGACAGGAGAATAACATGGAGGCTTCTTCAACACAACGGCGTGCCTGGGAAGAAAGTCAACATCATATGGAACTCTTATAATGAAGTAAACTGCAAAATCGTGCACGGAGGACAGCTGACAGAATCGTTCGAGGTGGAGACCGGTATCAAGCAAGGCGTCAAAATCTGGAGTGAAGCACGGGATACAATGGACACCTACGATGCAGCTGGGTGATCTAGACTTCACAGATGATCCAGCTCTTCTGTCTCACACGCAAAAACAAATGCAGGAGGAAACGACAAGGGTAGCAGCAGCCTAAGCAGCAGCGGGTTTCAAAATACATAAAGGGAAAATCCTTGGAGGACGTTGAAACCTTAACATAAATGAGCATCATCATTGACAGTCAAGGTGGATCCGATGCAGGTGTGAAGGCGTGGATTGGCAAATCAGAGGCTGAATTTCTACAATTGAACAACAACTGAAACTCAAAATAACTGTCAACAAACATGAAAGTCAGAATTTTCAATACTAATGTCAAGACAGTTCGACTGTTAGGGGACAGAAACTTGGCGAACTACCAGAGCCATCATCCTAAAGATACAAGTATTTTTTAACAGCTGTCTACGCAAAATACTTCGAATCCGTCGGTCAGAAACCGTGAGCAACAACCTACTGTGCTAGAGGACAAACCAGATTTCAGCGGAGGAGGGAATCAGGAAGAAGCGGTGGAAGTGGATAGGACACACTGCGGAAAGCACCCAACTGCCTCACAAGACAAAGCCTCACTTGAAACTCTCAAGGTCAAGTGAAAAGAGGAAGGCCAAGAAACACATTACGCCGAGAAATAGAGAAATACATGAGAGGAATGAACCAAAATTGGACATAGCTGACAACCCTTAACAAGTTGATGCAAGTGAATCAACTATAGATGCCATTGCAAATGGTCAGTAGTTGCATTCGTAAATGTGAGTTCAGTCACTTGCACCAATTTTTTCGTTTTACTAGTGTGTAAACGAAGGGAATTTGTGACTGGTTATTTATCCATGTAGACTGGTTAATAGTCTGATAGGTATTTGAAGTGACACTTGTATTCCCTACCCTTTCTGTTGATATAAGTTGTCTGTTGATTGTTGACTTTATACACAATGTTGTCAGACTGATCACGTGCAACAGACCTGAGTTTTGTTGAAGAACATGACAAGTTGTCCGGACTTCTTTCCATTGTTCCAGAACAGCGACGATCTCAGACAACCTTACCTAGCCTTTACATTTTTCCTCAAGTTATCTATCAATAAAGTTTGGAAAATCGCTTTGAAACGAGTGCTTGGTGGTGCGTCGTTCCGTCTTCATGAATGTGCAGATGATATCATCCTTCTGTTTGGAGGGATACAAGTTACTACTACCTCACCAATTCAGTTGGTGATTACGGTTCACAAGTGAAGGGCAAACTTTATGTCGTCAAAATAAAAATTAGTTCTAGACCGGTGATAATCGGGATGTTTGAATCTAGATAGCTGTGCTTCCAGTGATATCGATTTACGTGTGGTGAAAGAGCGTCCTAATTATAATCTAAATTATCATTGAGTTTTCATTCTGAGTAAAAATGTTAGGGTGCGTATTAACTGGATTTTGTTGCATACCTGTGAAGTCTCACTTCACATAGCCTAGATTGTTTGTTGACTTTCCATATCCGACTGCGGTTGTCTCCACACGATTGATCACATGAGCTGGCGATTTCGTGTATTTATTACTAAGGTGTTAGCAACTAAAACTACAGTTTGCAACCATCTTAAAATGTTGTCTGAAAGCTTAAATTGATTCTCGTAGCAACATAAGATGTAAGTGGAAATCTGTAGCTTGTAATAATATGTCGACTTCACGTGACTTATCTCAGCCTTTGGACAATTTAACTAATCCACTCTCAAGCTATTCACAAGTCTTTCGACCTTGTACATTATTCACTTACGATCTTTGTTGCTTTATTTGAGTGCGCGTATGCATTACTTACTTCACTTGTCACATGTCTAGCCTATTTTTGTCTGACTCTAAATACTTAGTTATGCCTCGCCAATTGAGTTGGCCCACTCGCCTCCACTTCACTTGACTTCGCTTTATCGATTTGCTTCATTGTTTGTCTGCTTACGCGAATGTATGAAATAAATTCATTCAAGATAAACCAAACTAGGTTTTTCACTACCACCGTCGTGCAAACGCAGTTCACCTAAGAATAATATGCAGAAATTAAAGGAAAGACTGATCTTACAGAATATCCACTGGTTCGTAAAAATTATAGTCAGATTCTGGGCCACTAAAGATTATTCACTTTTTACTTTTCATGACTAATTGATTTTCAACAAACCTTCCGTTAATTATCGCGTAACACAGAACAAATGTTTCATTCTAGTATTGGGCTCTTTAGAAGTGGACATTGATCACACGCCATTCCCTAGCTATCAAACTAGTGACCTACAGAGGTTTCGGGGACTACGTGATTGTTAGATTACTGTGTTGGTAACAAATGCTTTACATCTGTAACGTCATTCAGTTCAAGATGTGTTAAAAGTAGCAACAAATGTTGTGAACATTTGAATTGTAATTGTGGGAAGACCGTGATAAAAACCGGTATATACCTGTAATTCGTCTGCTACTAAGTACATGTATAACAGCAACTATTACTAAGAATTTTGCTTTTATCAGTATGTGGTTGTGGGGATCGTTGAGTTTCACTGAAACCAATATCATGGTTGATTGGTTTTAGACAATAACACTGTCGGATTCGTTTGATCTATGCCTGCAGGGTTGTAGATTTCCACGACTGAGGACGAAACAGCCTTCCAACGCTTCCAGGTTTTCAGTGGTGGTTGAACTTCAAGTGCAACAGTTAATTCGTATAGAACACTACACAAAAACAACAGCCTTTCACGTCAAGCTTCACCATAGTTTAGAAACGATTAACTGACCCATTACTTGTTATTTTCTCATGTTCAATAAAATCTCTCTAAATTACTGAGAAAATCAATTATTCCATTGATGATAAGATTAAGAATATTAAAATGCAGTAAACAATATCATAGGAAAGTTACTTCTCTGAACAGACGTTTTGACAAACTACTGTTTATAATCGGTATTGTAGTTAGTGTGATTACTTTTTGGTGATATATTAAAATTCCAATCTCAAAGGCTTGTCATTTTCCGTATTCTGCTTACAGTTTTGAGTAATTTTCAAATAGCTTTTCCAGTATCTTATACTTCTACTAAATTTGCGCTCGTATTACCACAAACGCTCTCTCGTCTGTATATATATATATTTATATATATAACATTAATTTACAATACTTCGATTTCCACGACAGATTTCACTGCTTTATAGCAGGACATAGCATGATGTAATTTATCTTTGTCTTAAAAGTGAAAAATAGCATGAAATAGTTGCATTCGGATGAAGTGGAGGTGAGACGTAATACTAGGAAATTATCAAAGACTATGACACTTGAAGATTATCGGAGTTGTTTCGAACAGTATAAGCGGAAATGAGAGAAGTAGAAATTATCGTGAAGGAAATAAAATAATATACAGTGCAACATTGCAAACTGATTCTTCTCGGAACTTATTTAGAGTTTATTGAGCAGAGTATTCGGTACTTGCTTACGTACTTACGCCTGTTACCCCCAATGGAGCATAGGCCGCCGACCAGTATTCTCCGACCTACTCCGTCCCGCGCCTCCCTTTTCAGTTCTGTCCAATTTTTGTTCATTCCTCTCATGTCTTTCTCTATTTCTCGCCGTAATGTGTTTCTTGGCCTTCCTCTTTTCACTTGATCTTCGGCGTTCCAAGTGAGTCTTTGTCTTGTGAGGCTTACGTAGAAAAAACCATTTCATACATGATTATTGCCCAGGTTATTTCAGAAATCTCATCAGTTTAGATGACAACTTTGTTTCTTTTATTAACTGAAATAACCAATAAACGCATATATTATTGATACATTGATAATGAGTAAATGAATTTTGCAGGAAATATTAATCTTCATTGAGTTAGATGTGTTATGACGATATACCTATGAGACCCAGTATTTCGGTACTGTTACCACTTATATGGTGCTTAGAAAACAGTCAGAAAACGGAATGTTGATGGATTTTATTGTAAAATAACTTCAATGCTATGCTGAGGCGAAAACGTTTGTGGTCACGCAGAAATACGTGATGCATAGACTGCGCATAAGTTTACATGAAAACAGTTTTGATCGTAAATTCAAATGCAACTAAAATCCTTATTCATTGTGAGGAATTTCTATATGATTTAAATACACAGTAATTTCGTGATTACAAGATACAATATACAAATTGCCTAACGATATTTATGCACAAGATTCTGGTTGATATGTGCAATTCGCTTAGGAACTATCTCATGTCACCCTGTAGGTAGGAACGATACTAACGTAAAATAATTTACTTCTTTACAAAGTCGAATAGAAATCTCCTATTGGATTTAACGGATGACCTTAACGTCGATTTACCATTGGCCAACTTTTAGACTTTTTCATCTTTAAAAATAGTTGCCATAAGTTTCGTTCGGTTTACACTCAGTACAAAGTATTCAGTTGTTTATTTATTTGAACCTAAAATCAAAACTATTGTAGCTTTTCTAAGAATCAGTAAATTGTGCTTACTCTTCAGATATATAAATGTTCATATATGTTCGTAAATTAACTTTCAAATTTGATTTTCTCCGCATCTTAATTTTCTTCCATAATATGTAATACGAAATGTTCTTTCCTGAAAAACAGGTTTATAACAACTACAGCAATATAAATGACGTTTATGTAGTTAACCCGATTGTATTTGTTAATAATCAAAAATTACCGAATCATGTAACGGCTAATGATTTAAAAAATGCAAATTGGACGTTATGGCTAGGTATAGCATTTGTTGTACTTACAATGGCAGTCACTTGGGTACTGAATATTTCAATCATGAAATCTGTGTACAAAAATATGATTATGAAACATATCACATATTTTTACGTCATTTCAATCGGACTTGTTGGAATGTTACATTCGGTGGTAAATTTCCCAGTGAACATTATAAGTGATTTGATTGGTAAGTTGCTTGTAATTTGACTAGTTTATTTTTGACTTATTTTAATTAAAGTATAAATTGGTGGTGGATTATATAATTGCTTTGAAAAGTATGTGTTATTCTTTCAGTGATACTTTAGGCAGATGCATTATCCCACTTAATTCTAGAAGATTTACTCTCAATTTTGTCAGTAGGGTGAATGGTTGTTGGAATTTGATATTATGTGAGTCAAATTCCTAATGCACATTGATGTAATGAACTGAACGTAACTTCTTTTTATAAACAAATCAAATACATTTTGCATAAAAAACAATTATTTCAACTAATTTATAACATACCACAACAGCTTACTCAGATATCATTATTGACTAAAATCTATTTTATCACTAGATCGTTCAATATTTACACAAACTGAGGTACATATTTCTCGAACTCTTCGAAATACTACTTTTTATGGCAATCAATCAGTACCAACTCTATGCTATTGTTCAAAACATAGTTGGGATTTCTCAGAATTCAAGTTCACATCTTCACTGAACATTGAATTGCACATATTGCAAATCACCCAACATATGTTGAATAATTAGAAAAAATATTAGTTAAACATAAATTTTTCGTTACAAATCATAACTGAATTACTACTAGAATTCAATAACTCTCAGAAAGTGTTTTGGTTTACACTTTAATCACTTATTGTTAATTGTTAATAAATGTTTTCGTTTGTCAATTGTGACATTCTTTTACTTACATGCAAATAGTGATTACGATAGTTGTCCAGTTCACTCTAATTGTTAATGATTATCCAGTTTATATAAATTCATTACGTAGACTGATATTAAACCGAAGACTCTTTATGATCATCGTTATGATAAATTTTCTTTTCGTTTAGATTTTAAAATAAACCCATACAATTGTTGTATATTATTACGAAAATCTGTCCACTATTGTGTGACAGCATTTTATTCTAAATTTAGTAAATTGGAATTTATGTTTACTACAGTAGTAATTGAGTTTAATGATTTAATTTCTATAATGATAATTGTATTATAAATTGTTTTACTATTATTTAGATTGTAAGCTGCCACAGATTGCATTGTATAAATAAAAAAACCTTATGTAAACAAATAAAAAAATTACAAGTTTTTCAATAATTCTACAACCATTGTTAAATTCCAATTGATAGTCATATAGTATTGTCATTCAAAGTTCAGTGAAAACACTATCTAAAATGAATTCGTAAATATGATTAACATAGTTTGATTTGATAATTTCAAATAAAATGAGCATTGGATTGACTGCTTCTGATAATAACATTTTAATAATATTTTTACGCGAATGTACCCAGATATGTTTAATAGATTGTCATTACCTTTAACCTGAATGGCATAACATCACGATAGTCAGCCTTAGTTCGACTCTACTAAATAGTATAATTCAGTACTTAGTACTGTTTAAAATTAAGTAGAAGAATGTTAGAAATTCAATTTCCTATTGAGTAATATAAATGAGCTTATTATTATTTTGTCATAGGGGACCACTTGTACACGACATGAATGTTCGTCAGTGTATACATGCATACTATCTTGAATAAACTAAATCTATTTCATTGATAAATAAACAATACAATTACAATAATATTCAAAGGCGATAGACATTAAGTGATTAGACAGAAAGTCAAGGAAACCAAGCTTTTTTTATTTGAAAATATAGAGATGTTAAACAACCACTGGTAAATAATATTATTAAGAACTTCGAGATGTCAGATTATTTCGGTTATCACATGGGAATCTTATTCATATGTTGATAAAAACCACATTTCATTTGTGAGAAAGTTAGTTGGCATTTTGTGTAAGTGTTTTATTGATCACTAATATAAATTATGGCTAATTGAAATTCGTTTATTTATCCATCAGTGAGTCATGATAAATCCAGTGCTTCCCTTTTAGAATATTGACAGTGGTTTGTCAAATTATTTTTTTGGTCATGTAACTGAACATCTCATTTCAGTTCAGGTGCTTTCTGGAATAATGAGTCATTCGAAACATGAAATCATGTTATTTAGGATGATTGAAGTTACTAATTTCATTTTATTCAGACTGTTGAACATGTGCACCTATAACTTTTAACGTTCAATAGAATCTATGATAAGAATGTTGTATTCAGCTTTACAAGTAGTGTTTTCGTACATTATTTCTTTAGTTTAAATATAATTTAATGGAAATATACAAACTTTTTCCATCAGCCGATTTTTCTTTTCTAATTTATGTTCAATCCTCATATGATTGATTGAAAACTACAAATAATTGTAATGGTCATTGGACTGGCTTTATTTTTAATCTCAGTTTATTTAGGTTATATATAAAATATGTGCAATGGAAACCCAATCAATACAGCTAACAATCGTTATATGAACGATGTATTGTATTGTAATAGTGGATAGATGTTCTTTGAAAACAATTTTCATGGTAGCATTCAGTAACGACACCAATTAACACCTTATTCTGTAATGATTATTTTCTAGTGAATAATTTTTTTTCAGACAAAATTTTCTTGTAAAGTGCAAAAATCTATAAAATTCTATGAACCATGAAGTAATTATATAAATTTTCTTTGTTTTTATAATGAAAGATGTAGAACAAAAATATTACAGAGAATTCATCTTTATGTAAAGAAACATTAATTACAGGATATAAAATACATAATTCACAAAAAAGAAAACCGATTAGCATGATTTTTCGTCGCAAAACTAACAAATGGCGTCATGAATAACAATAATTCAAACGGAGAAAATGGAATGAAAGTGGAATACACTTTCGTTCACAAACTTGTTTTACAAAAAGAGTCAACGCAAAACAGGAGTAATCTATACATTTTTAGTGACTGTTTGCTTATTTTCTATATTATTTTCCACAGTAGTTGAAATGAATGAATTTTTATGCACAGTATATGCGAGCTTAAGCAAAATAAGTAAGCACAGACAAAAGTATGTGATATATTTTAATTGTGTAAAGAAATCCTTTTAACTTTTGAAAAGATAACAAAATGCCTTCATAAAAATATAAACACAGGTAGGATACAAATATACAATTGACCAATAACATGCCTATCTGTACCTTGCTGATATCTGTATGTTTGCGTGCACTGAGATGGGGTATGAGAAGTGAATTGTCAAAAGTAGAAAAGCATAACATTAATCTCTTAGAATTTGATTAACTCTGATAATAAGTTTGATCTATTCTATGCTATTATTTCTATGAGATAAACATTAACCTAAGGTATATTGCGGTAAAATCTCTTGATTTCGTTTGACATAAATTAAAGAGAAAAATTATATTTGTATGTCTCAGTGATTGACCTTTAAATAAAATTCAACATTTCACTCGGTAATCTGATCCAAGCTTTTTCAAGGATCTACTTAAAGTCTAATCTCTGAAACTTACAAATATGATTTTCCTCTTTAACAGTTTACATCAAATCGACGCCTAACTATTGTGAAACTATTCGTCCAAATCTAGACGAAAGTTCTTGTAAGTCGTCTATAATAGTTTCTAATTTGTATCTCAAATACCTTTACCATTCAAAAATTTGATTTGATCTTGTAATCAGGAGAGATTAAAGTTTAAACAATGTAGAAATGAAATGGAAAGTTGTATATAAAATTTATTTATTTAATGAGTGATAGTAGGTAACTATGGCTCTCATCTTATATTTCTATTAAATATTAATGGATGTTACTATTTTTAGACGTTTCATAGTAATTATTGACACTGTGCACACATTTTTTACGTTCACTCACATTTCTGGTGCAAAAATTTAAACTAAGTTATTAGAGAGACATTCAGGAATGTTGTTAAAAATATAATTTTTATTTCTACCTCTAGAAAATTATACATTCTGAAGATATGGTCAGATTTTTAAGAACAATTACATATTTTCTCTTTTCAAAATAAATCAGTACGGTAAGGTACATTACTATGTGTTGATTTTTAATTAAACTGAACTTACAATAATGATAACTTGTTCACTTTTCATAATCGTCCGATCAGTAAGTTTTGTGGAACATATCAATAAATACACATAAAATGAATGAAACAAATTTATACTAATTTTGTTAGATCTGAAGACACAATACTGGTCATCGAAATTCATCATGATATAGATAAATCAACGCTTCATTAAAATAATTTAAGGGTGAATAGGATGCGAAAAAGGATTTGATTATTCCTTATTGATTCTCTAGTGAGTTATCCTTCATTTAGAGCTTTCGGAGAAATCGATAAACAACTCACTTTCAATAGATATAGTTTCACAACAAACAACTACAACTTGTGGATGGATTTGTTGAATTAAATTTTCATTAATTCACTAGTGTTCATAGATAGTAATCATTATGAACAACGTGTTGACATAAAAAAAAATAAATAGAATTCATACTTTTTAACAATAAGTTAAAAAGTTATTTAACTTTTTAACTTATTGTTTAAATATGATTGCATGTGCAGAAATTACATACTTCCCACTCACATGAAAAAATAATAAATGAGTCATTATTGATTGTTCTCTCGAATGCACATAAAACTATTGTGTTCATGCCTATCTATGCATTTTCATTGTTGTACCATCCTTAAGATAGATCGTCATCTTTGTTTGACTTTAGTGTGGATTTATGAAAGATTATTGGTTGATATCTGTGTAATTGCGTTTAAGAAGTTTTGTTTTCGGTTTATCATTTTGTGAAACGATGTCTTATTGTGAAAGTATGTATATTTTCTCTATTATCACCATTGGATATGAAATGCTGCGCTTAGTTTTATAGCGGTTGTTATAGATAAATGATAATCGATTTTATCTGTTCTTAATCACTTTGTTACTTTGTGGTATTTTCTATTGATTTCGTATAAAATTACATATGAACATACTCGTTCATAGTTTTGAATCATTTTGGAAACTGATTGCAGTACTACAAGTTACAACAACTTTTGAATGTTAATACGCAAACAACATAATTGAATATTTTTAAA